TTAGTCGACATGATGGTTTGTTATCGAAGTTGTCCTTGTGGTCCTTCATAGTAACGAAGACTTCCCTCTCGGCCAATTTATCTATGCGGTCGCCCAGTCCAAGACTTTTAGCAATTCTTTTCGCTTCGCGATTGATTTCCGCTACTTCCTTTTGCTCGGTTTTCTTGTATGTTTTGGTTACATTCGCCCTGACAAGGTTTACATAGTCATCTTTTTCCATCTTGTAATAATTTGTAGTCTTATCAGCCTTGACGGTAAGCTTATCATCGTTCCTAATCGTATTTATGTCTTCGTTTCAAGAAGGAAATATAGAAGGAAATATGAAGAAGGAAATATGTCAAGTATTCCGGGAAAATGACTTAAAGGTAACGATCGAAGCCAACAAGGCAACAGTAAACTTCCTTGACATCACATTAGACCTGCGAACGGGAGGGTACAAGCCATACATGAAACCAGGTAATGTACCTCTCTATGTACATGTCCAGTCAAACCATCCACCCGCCGTCATCAAACAGATACCAGAGGGAATCAACAAGCGACTCTCCAACATCTCGTCGAGCAAGGAGGCATTCGAGAAAGCTGCCCCGGCCTACCAGGAGGCTCTGCAAAAAAGCGGGCACAAGTACCGGTTGACATACGCACCGGGCAATAACACCAGGAAAAGGACTAGAAAAAGGGAGGTGACATGGTACAACCCGCCGTACAACAAGAACGTACGTACCAACATTGGAAAGAAATTCCTTCAGATAATAGACAAATGCTTCCCCAAGGAACATAAGCTTCACAAAGTGCTCAACCGGAACACAGTAAAGTTATCGTACAGCTGCATGCCGAATATGAAGGCAACGATCCAGTCAATCAACAAACAGAAGGTAAAACAAGAGGACGACGTCGGTGGTAGAACATGCAGTTGCCCCCGCAATGCCGAATGCCCGCTGAACGGGGAGTGCCTCAGCAAGAACATAGTGTACCAGGCCACCGTCACGAGCGAAGGCAAGAAGGAGGCATACGTCGGGCTGACGTCCACAACCTTCAAGGCGAGACTGGCGAACCACAAGCAGTCATTCAGATCCGAGAGCAAGAGGGCGCAAACAGAGCTAAGTAAACATATATGGGACTTAAAGGACGAGGGGAAAGACTATGAAATCAAATGGGACATAGTTCTGAAAGCACTGCCATACTCTAACGTAAACAAGAGATGCAATTTATGTATAGCAGAGAAGTACATAATCATATGTAGGCCAGATCTAGGTACACTGAATAAGAGAAGCGAAATCGTCTCCAAGTGCAGGCATCGAGACAGATGTGTTCTTACTTCAGTGACGTAAACGCGTACTAACTTCAATGACGTAACGCGCGTAACGCGTGCGCGCGCTTGATTCGAAATAAGGTAAGATGCTACTTGTATTCTATTTTTCGTCATTCTGCTGATGAGTGCCTTATGGTACGAAACAGTCTGTTCAGAAAGAGAATATTCTGAATTTATTGCATGTTTATAGCTCTACAGAGATGTATCGAGCACTGTGAATTGTGATAGAAGACGATTTCATTGGATATATATATATATATATATATATATATATATATATATATATATATATATATATATATATATATATATATATATATATATATATATATATATATATATATGCAAGTTTTGAATCTCTGTTTCTGAGTTTCACAATAAATATTCGAATCAGAAATAGACCTTTCACATTATGCTCTTTACTTAATTAAGAGCAAGATCAAACACCTTCTTAATATTTTTTTTTTTAATTGACAGACCTAACGTATGTGCTGTTATTCTTCAATAAATATTCAAGCGCACAATCTTCAAATAATTCCAACGAATCGTAAGGTTTTATTAAAAGTCACCAGAAACGAAATGTAACATTTGGCAACAACACTAAAACGAATGGCAAAAAAAAATTGGGCTTTTCAAATTTCGCAAATTTAGGACGAATCGGTTGCTAAAAATTTGAATTATCCTTCAATGAAATGCTGGCTTTTTGAAAATTCAAATTGAGAATTGAGCTTGGCGATGTTTGTGGACGAAATTAAAGTTTTGATATAAGGAAGTAGTGTGATACAAGTGTTGAAATAACAAGGAAAACCTACACTAAGAAAACATAGGGAGAGAGAACAATATTCATTGAGTGATCTAATGCATGGAACTCCTTGGTTATCAGAGCCATGCAAAGGAAGACGTTATTTGGAGAGGCTTGGTGGCAGTGCGGTCTGGTTCCCTGTCCCCATTGCCATTTGGGCTTCAAATATGGAGACAGGGTGCTAGCAGTAAGCCTGACTACACCAGGAGGCATTACTCCTAATGTATGCAAATTCTATGCATGACGTGCGTACTGCACATAGGGCTGAATCCCGCCTCGTGAAATGACAATCACAACGATAATGGATGCACGCAACCAGCATGGGAATAAAGGCTGCACTACAGAGGTGCAATATCCGAGGTAATGAGCTTCGACTTTTGCTCAATTCGAAAGTTTCTCTAACAAATATCAATAAAGAAAGGGGCATAACTGTTCAGTATTTAAAATCTACCGGTATGCGGTTGAAAAGTGAGAAAGTTGCCCTTATGGTGACACTAACAATTGTGCGTACTTTTTGTAGTAAGACCAGATATTTTTTTTTGATCATCGTGTGTTCAGTCACCGTCCATCCACAAAATTATCAGCGATTCAAAAATAAACAATCATGATGCGCGCGCAGAGTTTAAGATCCAATCAGTGGCTTTCAATGAGAGCTAGCTACCGGTCCCCATATTTTTGGGATCAGTGGGGGGGGGGGGGGGGAGGGGAGGTGGGGGCTAGGAAGGAGTCTATGCTATTGATTGCGTCGTGTTGAACATGCGCACATTAGCTTGAACATTACGCAAACAATGATTAAGAAGGACCCATGTATTTGCAGCTATCAATCATCTCCAAAGTCTACCACTAGACCCAGGAAAAGGATCTGACGTTTTAAAAGGAATTCATTGACGAAATCTATTATAGGATTTCCCGGCTATTTCAAAATATTTCTCATTCAAATTCACCATTTCTCATATTCAATTTCGTCCACGAAAAATTGCACACGCTTTTACCAAGGGGGGAGTGTGTGACCAAGTGGTTAGGGTTCGTGACTCATGATCAGAGGGTCCGGGGTTTCGAATCCAGCCGCTAGTCATATATTGTGTCCTTGGGCAAGGCACTTCACCCCCACTTGCCCCTCTCCACCCAGGAATATAAATGGGTACCGGGCTTAGCTGGGGAGTAACCTGCGATGGACTAGCATCCCATCCAGGGGGAGTAGAAATATTCTCAGTCGTTTCATGCTACTGAAACCGGAGATAAACGCCGGCCCGATGAGCCACATTGGCTCGGGACAGACTTTACTTCACTTTTTTTTTACCAAAGCCACTCTAGTATAGGTTTTCCCGGCTATTTTCACACTTGTATCACACAAAGTTCCTATTTCGATACTTTATTTTCGTCCCCGATCATCGCCAAGCTCACTTCTCAATTTGAATTTCAGAAAGCTACCACTAGATTTCATTTAAGGTTCAGTATAATTCAAATTGTTAGCATTCCGATTCGTCCAAAATCTTTGAAATTCGTCTCGTGAAGCAATCAGCGTTGAATTGACAAAGCAAATTCGTTTTTTTGTCATTCGTTTTCATGTTGTTGTCATTACATTTCGTCCCTTGTGACCTAAATCGTATACGATTAGAAAATGCGCCCAATCTTTATACATATTTGAAGAATTATGCGTATTAAAACAAGGATAATTCAACATGTATTTCCTTACGTGCATAAGTAAAAGTAGTTAGCTGTAAGGTGTGAATTTTAATTTCTGACAATGTTTAACAATTGACATTATAGTCAGGAATTGACATTTCACAATATGCACTTATGACATGGACACTAAGCATTAAGTTCAAAGACCTTCTTAATGTTGTTCTTTGATAGACATACCTTATTTCTGTTGTTTTACTCATATACATATATCAAGGAGCAGCATTACGAACTTCGAAGGTGTTTGATCTTAATGCTTAATTTCCAAATGCTAAGCAAAGAGCGTATTGTGAAAGTTCAATTTCTGATTTTAATGTTAATTGTCAAAGAAAATTCAAAACTAACAGCTTTACTTTCATTGATAAGGAATTATTTGTTAAAAATTAAAATTTAATGAATGTGCAAACAAGTCCAAAGATTGGGCACATTTGTAATCTTAACGTTTTAAGTCACCAGAGACGAAATGTAACTACAAGAACATTAAAACGAATGACAAAAAATGAATTTGCTTTTTTTATTCAACGCCGATTGCTTCACAAGACGAATTTCAAAGATTTTGGACGAATCGGAATGCTAACAGTTTGAATTATACTGAACCTTAAATGAAATCTAGTGGTGGCTTTTTGAAATTCAAATTGAGAATTGAGCTTGGCGATGTTTGGGGACGAAATTAAAGTATCAATTATAGGGAATTCGTGTGATACATGTGTTAAAATAGCCAGGAAAACCTAAAATTTACCATTCAATTTTAAAAGTTTGGTCACCATATTTAGTCACTGGGTGGAGAATATTTGTCAGTACAGATCAAATTCGTCTAAGCTGTTGCCGATTGGAAGCATTCAGAGATCAAATTAGTCTATATAAATCAATAAGACGAATTTGATTTTTGAATAACAAGGTCTAGCTAGACGAGACGATATCGAATACTCCGGGACGAAAACTTGTGCTCATTGTTTGAATTTGCTTGAACTGAATTTGTAATTGTCCGAAAGACGAAATTAAACGTTGGAATTGCACTTAGTCGATGTTGATGGACGAATTTGAATCTTAGAGACGGTGAATTCGAATGATAAACGTTCAAAATTGCCGTGAAAACCTATAGTAGGCACTGTTGTAAAAAAAATTAAAACCCTGAAGGCTGGTGCACGTGCCAGTGCGCACAGTAAAACCCAAGTAAGTATATTTAAGACGTAAATCTAGGCCTACTCATCCTTTTTGGAGCATCTGTAGCGCCCAGTATCGCCAGGTTCAACGTCGTAGATGGAGAAACTCATGTCCCAGTTGAGAATATATCGTCCCACAGTGATCTCGTTGTCCTTGACTTCGAACCCAATTCCACTGAGTTTAGACTTTTCCCAAGTCCCGAGCTCTTGCTTCCACTGAACACCGTACCCGTGTGTTTCACTGCATTCAGAATGAAAATGAGGGGGTGCCTAATAAAAATGGACCTACACGAATGATTTAAATCTAGAAACAGCGTCACCTCCCACACTGACGTGGGAGTTTAAGACACCAATTCGAAGAGATATTCTCAGCCATAATGGTTGCGAATGCGAAAGCGTGCCGGTTGTCAGGCAAAGCGAATCCGAATACGCACTTATGTGCTGTAACAGAGCAGTGAAATTCGTGAAACCCCCCAAAACATGGCCTTTTGAACGTTGTGTTTCTCAAAACAAATACTCAGTATGATTGAAATGTTAAATTATTACAGAAGAAAAAATTCTAAACTTCATGCCAGTGAAAAACAAAATCGCCCTCGTCGATGCCGGAACGTCAATTGTTACTGGTAAATCTGACTTTGAAGTCTGCAATGAAATCGTTCGAAAACTTTCCCAAATCTATGTATCTATACTACAATTCAAGGAATCTCTGTCTGTCTGTCTGTCTGTCTGTCTGTCCGTCTGTCTGTCTGTCCGCCGATTATCTCCAGAACCGGGCACCGTATGAAGTTGAAAATCGGCAGGTGTATTGCTCGGGACAACAGAATGTGCAGTGCCAAGTTTGAAGTTGTTTGGACCAGCGGTTGTCGAAAAAGCTGCAAAAAAGCAGTATTTTCTGAAGCCTAGCGCGCCAGAATATAGCCTAGAACTCCACGCGCTGATGTTCTTTTCAATTGTTTACGTCATGTAAAGCTCAAGCGCGCGTGCTCAATATGACGCAACAATGGAAAAGGACGGGCACATTGTAGAGCGATAGCACTGCACACTGTCTTCGTACGTGAGTGGCATGCACGGGCACGAGCACATTTTGTAGTCAACTAAGCAACCATCACTGCACTGTATGTAGCCTAATGTAGGCGGTCGTCTGAGCAACTCTAATACAATATTGTATCGCCCTACAACTACGCCCTACAGTTGTAGGGCGATACCATATTGTCCAGTAAGGGTAAATATCAGTGCCGGGGGGTGACGACATTTTGTGCGTTTAACTTGCGAGTGTGCGTTCACACCATTGAATAATGTGCGTTATTTGCACGAGCTGCAGTTCTCAACAGCCCCTTCCGAACACGCACATTTTCGACTGGCCCTGCACTAGTCTTACTATAATTCCAGGAATCTCTGTCTGTCTGTCTGTCCGTCGATTATCTCCAGAACCGGGCACCGTATGAAGTTGAAAATCGGCGGGTATATTTTTCGGGACAACAGAATGTGCAGTGCAAAGTTTGAAGTTGTTTGGACCAGCGGTTCTCGAAAAAGCTGCAAAAAGCAGTATTTTCTGAGGCAAACGTGGCAGTATATAGCTTAGAACATAACACCCGCACGCACTGCCGTTCTTTTCAATTGTTTACGTCATGTTTAAGCTAAAGCGCGCGTGCTCAATATGACGCAAACAATGCAAAAAGGACGGGCACGTGCACGTGCATTGCAGGGCGATACTATGATTGTCCAGTATGGGTGAATACTAATGGATCAATGGGTGAATAGCACTGCATACCATGTTTCCGAATCTACACGGGCACATTATTTTTGAAGTCGACTGAGCGACCATTGTAGGTGGTCGAACTTCAAACTTGGCACAAACTTTGACGTAAGTGTGCCTTCAACCTGTGAAAACAACACCATTGAATAGCGTGCGTTGTTTGCACGAGCAGTTCTCAAAAACTCTGCAAGAGTATGCAACCTATACCAGCGGCAAAGCAATTTGCGTTTCCCGAACATGCACATTTTAGACGGGCACTGCACTAGTTTATACAAATTTCTAGGAATTTTTTCAAGTTGTTATTTAACGAGTAGTTGAACACTTATATCATCTAAGTATATCAAATTGTTAGCTTAATCTGTTGGTGCAAACACTATAGTGTGAACCTTCTCCAAGGAAAATTTCGACAAGGATTTGCAGCAGCCTAAAGCCCATGTCACACCTTTGCGTATCCTAATTCCTTATGAGTTCCTTATCAAAAATGTTCAATACGCAGCCGTACGCTCAATTAACGTCAAAAATGTTTTGATCACTTTGACTTATGTGCGACGCACATCTAGCGTACAAGCAACGAATTGCGTAGGAGATGCGTATGAGTTGCGAATGCAGTGCACAACATTACTTTTCGGGCTGCGAATAGGTCAGTATGCGGTGCGCATGCCGAGCGTATTCTGGAAGCACCCATTGATCTCCATATACACATATATATATCTGTGTATATGGAGATCAATGGAAGCACCCGACTTATGCCGACCACAGATATAGAACTTAATTTTATCTATGATGCCGACTGCATGCTTGACGCACTTCTGAGCGTATTCACGCCGCATTTCCCCCGCTCGCCGTCCAGCGTGCGTTGCATCTGCGCTGCAAGTACGCTATGTATACGTCCAATACAGGCGGATCATATGCTGACGGGGTGCGTCACGAACACATAGCGTACTCGTAACGCACTCGACCGATGCGGGACCGATGCGCTGCGTATTTATAACTTACTAGTGCAGTGCCCGTCTAAAATGTGCATGTTCGGGATACGCAAATTGCTTTGCCGCTGGTATAGGTTGCATACTTGCAGAGTTTTGGAGAACTGCTCGTGCAAACAACGCACGCGATTCAATGGTGTTGTTTTCACAGGTTGAACGCACACTTACGTCACAATGTTTGCCAAGTTTGAAGTTTGACCACCTACAAATGGTCGCTCAGTCGACTGCAAAAATAATGTGCCCGTGTACATACGAAAACGTGGTATGCAGTGTTATATAACTGACATACAGATCCTAGTCATTTGATTGGTGGAACTCACATCACGTGACATTCGTTATTGCTCCCATTCACGCCGCGGCTCAAAAAGTACTATCCGCCCATGGGGAATGGGAAATACTATAGACCGCTTGCAGACGCGTTCGATAATTGACGCGCTAAGGTGGGCGACGCCATGTTATGGGACAAAATGTGCGTGAATTGATATACGCCTGTCCCACAACATGGCGTCGCGCGCCTTCGCGCGTCGATTATCGAACGCGGCTGCAAGCGGTCTATTCAACAGTTAGGATCCTGACGCGGTATTTGTGTGCAAATGCATGCTGGTGAGCGCGTTCAGCGTTGCGCGTAGCGCGTATTGTTCCAAAGAGCCAGCGCTACAGCGTTGGGTTCAAACATTTTCGTGAAGGGGTGGTTTGGAAGAGAGAACTACATTTTCCTCCAGTTTTGTATTGAAAAAAAAAAGTTCAAATATATCAAATGACAAGGATCTATATGTCAGTTATATAAAACAAATATTGAGTGGCTTTAAATTGTGAAATGGGAGGAATATTATCGCTCGGTAAAATCTGGACCTTTCCAGTTCACTCGGCTTCGCCTCGTGCAATGGAAAAGTCCAGATTTTACCTTGCGATAATATTCCTCCCATTTCACGCTGAGCCACTCAATATTTGTATACTATTCACCCATACTGGACAATGTATCGCCCTACAATGCACGTGCGCGTGCCCGTCCTTTTTGCATTGTTTGCGTCATTGAGCACGCGCGCTTTAGCTTAAACATGACGTAAACAATTGAAAAGAACGGCAGTGCGTGCGGGTGTTATGTTCTAAGCTATAAACTGCCACGTTTGCCTCAGAAAATACTGCTTTTTGCAGCTTTTTCGAGAACCGCTGGTCCAAACAACTTCAAACTATGCACTGCACATTCTGTTGTCCCGAAAAATACACCCGCCGATTTTCAACTTCATACGGTGCCCGGTTCTGGAGATAATCGACGGACAGACAGACAGACAGAGATTCCTTGAATTGTAGTATAGACTAGTGCAGTGCCCGTCTAAAATGTGCATGTTCGGGAAACGCAAATTGCTTTGCCGCTGGTATAGGTTGCATACTTGCAGAGTTTTGGAGAACTGCTCGTGCAAACAACGCACGCGATTCAATGGTGTTGTTTTCACAGGTTGAACGCACACTTTTGCGTCAAAAGTTTTTGCCAAGTTTGAAGTTCGACCACCTACAATGGTCGCTCAGTCGACTGCAAAAATAATGTGCCCGTGTACATACGAAAACATGGTATACAGTGCTATTCACCCATTGCCATTAGTATTCACCCGTACTGGACAATGTATCGCCCTGCAAAGCACGTGCGTGCCCGTCCTTTTTGCATTGTTTGCGTCATATTGAACACGCGCACTTTAGCTTAAACATGACGTAAACAATTGAAAAGAACGGCAGTGCGTACGTGCGAATGTTATGTTCTAAGCTATATACTGCCACGTTTGCCTCAGAAAATACTGCTTTTTGCAGCTTTTTCGAGAACCGCTGGTCCAAACAACTTCAAACTTTGCACTGCACATTCTGTTGTCCCGACAAATATACCCACCGATTTTCAACCGCATACGGTGCCCGGTTCTGGAGATAATCGACGGACAGACAGACAGACAGAGATTCCTTGAATTGTAGTATAGACTAGTGCAGTGCCCGTCTAAAATGTGCATGTTCGGGAAACGCAAATTGCTTTACCGCTGGTATAGGTTGCATACTTGCAGAGTTTTGGAGAACTGCTCGTGCAAACAACGCACGCGATTCAATGGTGTTGTTTTCACAGGTTGAACGCACACTTTTGCGTCAAAGTTTTTGCCAAGTTTGAAGTTCGACCACCTACAATGGTCGCTCAGTCGACTGCAAAAATAATGTGCCCGTGTACATATGAAAACATGGTATACAGTGCTATTCACCCATTGCCATTAGTATTCACCCGTACTGGACAATGTATCGCCCTGCAAAGCACGTGCGCGTGCCCGTCCTTTTTGCATTGTTTGCGTCATATTGAGCACGCGCGCTTTAGCTTACACATGACGTAAACAATTGAAAAGAACGGCAGTGCGTACGTGCGAATGTTATGTTCTAAGCTATATACTGCCACGTTTGCCTCAGAAAATGCTGCTTTTTGCGGCTTTTTCGAGAACCGCTGGTCCAAACAACTTCAAACTTTGCACTGCACATTCTGTTGTCCCGAAAAATATACCCACCGATTTTCAACCGCATACGGTACCCGGTTCTGGAGATAATCGACGGACAGACAGACAGACAGAGATTCCTGGAATTGTAGTATAGACTAGTGCAGTGCCCGTCTAAAATGTGCATGTTCGGGATACGCAAATTGCTTTGCCGCTGGTATAGGTTGCATACTTGCAGAGGTTTGGAGAACTGCTCGTGCAAACAACGCACGCGATGCAATGGTGTTGTTTTCACAGGTTGAACGCACACTTACGTCAAAAGTTGTGCCAAGTTTGAAGTTCGACCACCTACAATGGTCGCTCAGTCGACTGCAAAAATAATGTGCCCGTGTACATACGAAAACATGGTATGCAGTGCTATTCACCTGTACTGGACAATGTGTCGCCCTACACCACTGCACGTGCGCGTGTCCGTCCTTTTTGCATTGTTTGCGTCATATTGAGCACGCGCGCTTTAGCTTATACATGACGTAAACAATTGAAAAGAACGGCAGTGCGTGGTGTTATGTTCTAAGCTGCCACGTTTGCCTCCGAAAATACTGCTGTTTTGCAGCTTTTTCGAAAACCGCTCATCCAAACCACTTCTAACTTGGCACTGCACATTCTGTTGTCCCGAGCAATACACCCGCCGATTTTCAACTTCATACGGTGCCCGGTTCTGGAGATAATCGACGGACAGACAGACAGACAGAGATTCCTGGAATTATAGTAAGATGACCTGCGTAACAGCGTACGCAGCGTAGTTTTGTGCATGACCAAAACTATACTGCGTACTGGGCCGTACCATGCGTATATCTGCATACATAAAACCTACACAAAACGATAGAAATGCATATGAGGTGCGTATTGTGCGTACGACTGCGTATGAAAAACATGTCAATGCGCATCTCATAAGGAATTAGGATATGCAGAAGTGTGACAGGGCCCTTACCCACGTGCATTGTTCAGCAAGGTGCCGTAGACGCAACGGATGACCGATTTCGGCCCGGCAACACAATAACGACGGGCATAATAGCATATTCTTTAGCATCAACCTACCTGAATTGGCCGGGCATCGGGTCTCGGCATTAACCAATGGAAACCTAATATCAGTGATAAGGTGATATAGTGTCATATCGGTGATAGGGAGATATGACTAACTCGCGAATGAGTTTTTTTCTGCAAATTTTTTTACTACACACCAAAATGGATAGGAACCTTATTAATGTTCGTGAGGCTTGAACAAATTAACAGATTGACGCCAGTGTTACAACTTTCAAAAATGCACGTAGCCAGGCCTTTTTTTCCCAACTTCAACGAAAAGTTATGAACATATCACAAGAGACCCACGTCAAAACACGCCGAGTGACACTAATGAATATGCTAATCTACCGTACGTTATTGTGTTGCTTGGCTGGAATCGGTCAACCGTAGCGCCTAAGGCGCTTAGCTGAATAATGCGCTTGGGTTGGGTCGGCAGATAATCCTCGTCGAAGTTGTCCATGGAGATACTTCAAGGTATATCACAAGCGTTTGCAACAACAGATTAGCTGAAATTCGGAATATACTCAGATAATATATAAGTGTATAACTGTAAAAAATAACAACTTGAGTAGATATCTAGAAATTGATATAAATACATAGATTTGAGGAAGTTTTTGAGCGATTTCTTCCAGACTTAAAGGTCAGCTACCAGTAACCAGTATTGAAATTCGGCATCGATGACGGCGATTTTTTTCACTGACATGAAGGTTAGAATGTCTTTTTCCGTTATAATTTAACATTCCAATCATATACTAAACATATTTTTTTTGAGAAACACAACGTCGTTCAAAATGTCATGTTTTTGTGGTGCATGAATTTCACTGCTGTGCTATAGCATCTAAGTACGTAATCGGATTAGCTTTCCTTAATAACGGCAGACGCTTTGCCTTAGCAACGACATGGCTATCCGCACAACTATCATTTAAAAACTGGGCGGTTTTGCAACCCCAAAAGTCGAGCTGTTTGGGTGTAAGAAATCACATTTTGTGTATTGGGGATTGGTCACCGCTGTACGCAAGCCCGGTGCTGTATAGACACACATGTACTACACATCGCGATCGTGCATTGATTGAGAACGACATGAAAAACGTATTTGTACTCCGTCGTGTCCGATGTAAACAACCGGGTTTTTTCTTTGTGTTTTCTCGGGAACGGAAGACATTAGGTTGGTTTCCTTTCAACCAGATGTTTGAATTTGGATAAGTAAATAATTCAAAACTTGAAGTTTTTGAGGATTTCAGGACCTAGTGCCCCTTTAAGTGAGTTATGTATGATGGGTTCCGTGCGCTAACACGAGAGAGCGTTACTTCACTGCTTTCGCAGAGCCAAGTGGACAGGACACAGCGTGTGTGCCTCCTGGTTTGCCTGGTTGCAAAGATGAAGGACATAAACACGTATTGATGAAAAATAGAAGGAGGATAATACAAACCATGGGTCACAAATCATCCGCACTGTTCCTCCTATAATTACAGGCTCAGTCACACTTGTGTTCTCGTAGCATCGCTTGTCTAAAGAAAACAGAGACAAAGAGGAACAGCTGTTATTCCGGATTCCGCCCCGGCCCTTTTAGGGTTAAAAATTGCCCTCTAGCAGCACCTCCTTGTATTTAACCATTTGCTAACACGTTACAAAATTGACAAAGCCGCTTTAATACGTATGCATGACGTCATGACGTTGTTAGGACATTATCCCACCGGCCAAACTCATGTTCGTATTAATATACAGCTGATTCAAGATTGGTTGCCTTCTTTGTGGCTTTTTACAGGACTACACTGTCGTTGGACTTTACGAGGAAGGCCTGTAGGTGACACCGAATGACGACTCGACGACACTGAACATCAAGACAAGATGTAGCTTGATTGATACATGAAAGAAGATCATACATTGTTCAAAATGTCAGGTCATTTACAGTACATAATTTTCTCAATCGAATTTACAAGTGTAAGTGGTTATTGTTTTACAAGCCGTGTCATGTATTTTTGTCTTCTTTACTTTCAACTGAATTTGTTGATGAAATAATTGCTTATTATGAGTATGCCTATTCAGGTATGACTAACTTTCATCCATCAATGGTCGTTAAAATTATTAAGCTCTCTAACATGTTCCTAAATACTAGTTAGTTCATTTCTATTCCAAAAGTGAGTTCATTGAAGCTGTTTCGAGGTCAAATACTAATCCAACCGGGCAAAATACTAATCCAACCGTTGAAATATAGGTTTTCCCGACAATGTAAACAACATTTAGCATTCGAATTTACCGTTTTTGATATTCAAATTCGTCCGTCAACATCGATGTAGTGCACTTCCAATGTTTAATTTCGTCTTTGGTCACACAACTTAAATTGTTGTTCAATCGAATTTCAATCCATTAACACCTATTTTCGGCAAGGAATGTTCGATTTCGGCTCGTCTACGCCGAACAGTCTTATTCAGAAATCAAATTCGTCTTTTGACACACAATTTATGTTTGTTCAATTTCGTAGCAGTTCACTGCGACATTTTCTGTAGAAGACATAAAGGTCGCAGATGAGGACAAGTTCCCCACTATTTATTTCTGTTGTTTCCTTGTTATTGCATTTATAGGCGTATTGTTTGTTTTTTTTTCAATCGATTTTCTTAAAAAAAAAAAGAGTTATATACTCATTTTATAGGTACAATGTAACAAAAGAAAAATAAGAATCATCGACTGTTTTTTATTTACATGGTCGTCTTAATTGTTTTACTCGTTTATTGCCCAAAGTTGCAGCCACTTGGATTTTGTCCATGGCATCATGTTCAAAGGATTCGATCATTTGTGGGTTTATGCCCTCGGACACAAGGAACATGGTAAATAACACACACCAGACTAATTTACTTAACAACAGTTTTAAATTGATTGGCATAAGACGAATTTAATTTCTGAATGCTGCCATTCGGCAACAGCTTAGACGAATTTGATCTGTAATGACGATTATTCTTGACGCTGTGTTCAAATGTGGTGACCAAATATTGAATGGTAAATGACTAAATCGCTTTGGTTTGAAGCGTGTGAATCATTTTCTCAGACGAAATTGAATGTTAGAGTTTGTGAATTTTAATGAAAACTGTTTTAAAAAAGCCGGGAAAACCAAGAGTAAATCCGCCCGGGCGAAATATAGGTTTTCCGGCCAATTTCCTAAAATGTTCATTCACTTCTGAAAATCAGTCATTCATTTTCGTCTGAATTTGAGAATGGCTCTGAACACGCATTTCAATTGCGCTATCAGAGCATTCGATTACATTTCAGTTCAAACAATTCAGTGATTTAGTAGCACATTTCGTTTATGCTCATTCAGATTCGTTTTAAAAGACTTCCTTTTCTCTTTTAGAGGGCGAATCCAAAATTGATCATTCTATTTCACTTTAAGTTGAATGTTGTGTGATGCAATCTGCTATTTTGAATGAGAAAAACGTAAGTTGATTACACATTCACGAAATTGTATGTCACAACTCTGTGCGAAAAGGTATGCTTGCGTAAATGAATGCACAGGTAACGTAATTGGCCGTTTGTTTTTCAAAACCGAATGCGCGGATAAAAAAAACCGATTAAACGTTCGTTGATTATTGAAATGGGACTAAAGACGTGCATTCAAATTCAGACGAAACTGAATGTCCGATTTTCAGAAGTGAATGAACATTATAGGAAATTAGCCGGGAAAACCTATAGTAATAGAGGGTATGCACGGTCGTTTTCCCACAGTAAACTTATTTGCGAGTTTTGACCTTAGGTCAAGTTGTGCATCTCTCTTTAGCCTCTGATGACGTCATGTGCATGGACCTTATCCGCTGGGTCGAAACAGTAATCCGCCCAAGTTGAAATACATGTAGTAATCCTATTATCATGCCACACGTAAATAAACTGTTTTTTTTATTGATTTATTCATTGATATATCAGTTTTTAAAATCATAATATAGGTTTTCCCGGCTATTTTAACACTTGTATCACACGAATTCCCTATATCGATACATTTATTTCGTCCCCAAACATCGCCATGCTCACTTCTCAATTTGAATTTCAGAAAGCCACCCCTAGATTTCATTTAAGGTTCACTATAATTCAAATTGTTAGCATTCCGATTCGTCCAAAATCTTTGAAATTCGTCTCGTGAAGCAATTGGCGTTGAATTGAAAAAGCAAATTCGTTTTTTGTCATTCGTTTTAATGTTCTTGTCGTTACATTTCGTCTCTGGTGACTTAAATCGTATACGATTAGAAAATGCGCCCAATCTTTAGACTTATTCGAAGAATTATGCGTATTAAAACAATGATAATTCAATATACATTTCCTTATATGTATAAATACGGTTACGGTTAAAAATGTGCCCAATCTTTGGACTTGTTTGCGCATTAATTAAATTTTAATTTTTAACAAGTATTTCCTTATAAATGATAGTATAGCTGTAGGTTTTTAGGGTTTTTTGACAATTAACATTGAAATCAGAAATTGAACTTCCACAATATGCTCTTTGCTTTAAATTAAGCATTAAGATCAAACACTTTCGTAATGTTGCTCTTTGATATATGTTTATGAATAAAACAACAGAAATAAGGTATGATGTCTATCAAAGACCAACATTAAGAAGGTCTTTGAACTTAATGCTTAGTGTCCATGTCATAAGTGCATATTGTGAAATGTCAATTCCTGACTCTAATGTTAATTGTGAAACACAGAAATAAAAATTCATACCTTACAGCTAACTACCTTTATTTATACATATAAGGAAATGTATATTGAATTATCATTGTTTTAATACGCATAATTCTTCGAATAAGTCTAAAGATTGGGCGCATTTTCTAATCGTATACGATTTAAGTCACCAGAGACGAAATGTAACGACAAACAACATGAAAAAGAATGACAAAAAACGAATTTGCTTTTTCAATTCAACGCCGATTGCTTCACGAGACGAATTTCAAAGATTTTGGACGAATCGGAATGCTAACAATTTGAATTATACTGAACCTTAAATGAAATCTAGTGGTTGCTTTTTGAAATTCAAATTGAGAATTGAGCTTGGCGATGTTTGGGGACGAAATTTAAGTATTGATATAGGGAATTTGTGTAATACAAGTGTTAAAATAGCCGGGAAAACCTATATATAATGTGAATTTATTGTTGATTTGCTGATAAAACAGAATTTGGCATATGGTAAACTTTAATATAAATTTTATTGACGAATCAATTTTATCACGTAATTCGTCTTTTAATGTAATTCAAGGAGTCCAATTTCCTAACATTTTAATGAATGAACTCGGCGAGTTCATTCATTAATCAAATATCAAATTAATGCACATGTACTTATTTGAGTTAATGTAATTCAAGGAGTTTATTCATTGTTCGAATATCAAGTCAATGTTCAGGTTCTCATTCGGTAACATAATCGAATATTGTCATTGAAATTGTTAATATGATTTTTTTTATGGAATAATGACCAATCATACTTTACTCCTCAGTGCAATCTCGATGATTGTAATGATTATTACTAAATATACTGATCTTTTCATGTCAATCGTATTTTAAACATCACTTATTGCATTTTGTGTAAATTCCGTATTGATTGATTTTTTGTTTCTAATGGTTCAATATTGTATTATAATCTTAATTCAGCACATGCTGCCACAATGATTTTTAATATCTATCTATCTAATCCGCCGGGTAGAATTTTGTGAATTCTTTGATTTCGTGGTCCATCGCGTTGTATGGACTTTACCAACTGTTCCTGTAGGACACAATACATGGACGTGAAATTGGTTTCTTCAACAAGGTGACACAAAACTAAAGTAAGTTTATGTTTTGAGTCGTATTACACAGAGGTCAGTCTAGCCCAGTTGGAAGACGTCTTCTCCCTTCGTAACGTAGTGCGGTAAGGGCCCAGACGCATGTCACTTCTTTGTCAGTCGCAAGACAATGAAGACACCGTCCAACCTGGGCTAGCCTAGGGTAGGGAGTCTGGCACTTTTTGCATTTTTTTGAGATTTCGCAAACAAGTTTGGCATCCTTGAAAAGCTTATAACCGGAGGATTACAACGGCGCTGAAATTAGCTTCGTAACTTCTTCTGGTGAGGAGTTACGACAATTTTAATGACAAGTTTTGGGTGAAGTTTTCTGTCATTATTTTAACTGTAACTCCCAAAACGAAATAAAGCAATTGCGTGTGTATTTTCACAGAAATATACAATAAATTTGGTACCAACAGACAGAACAGGAACTACCAAGTAATTAGCCTCATACCTGTTTCATAGGTGGAGTTAAAGGCTCTACAAGACCAACCATATGTTAGGGAGTTTTTCAACTAAACATGTAATTTACCGATTACTTTATCAATATTATCGTTTCGGTTTGCGGTTACACCATGTAGTATTTTATTAATATTGGTAATTAATGTTTTCATTTATTACTTTTTTTTATTATGTGGTATTTTATTGATATTTGCAGATTTCCCTCTGAGTAGTCCTTGAGAAGCTGGTAGGAATAGATACTGTCATCACCATTATATATAAATTAGTCTGGATACCAAGGATTCCTTGAAATATGAACAACAAGGCAGGCATAATTATGAGCAACACCATATAAAAAACACCATATAAAATGTGTCTGACCAAATCATGGTTATTGTGTTAAAATAATCAACGTCAGTGTTAAGGATAAAGGGCATTCATTTCTCAACAATACTTGGGTGATGTGACATCAGATTTATTTAAAAAAAAAAGCACTGCCAAATGCTTGTAATAAACTGCCCTAGTACTTTTACAAATTTTTTGTCTACCAAATCTGTAGTCATGTGGTTGAAAAAACTTGCATACAAAGTGGAATAGATATACACAAAACATGCCGCCATGTGCATATAAAAACATTTTTCATTGATGAACTCGTGTCTTCTCACTTCTTCCACATTATTTTCAATTTTTTGGCCTGGTACTGGTTGAATTGATACTAATGATAGGTCACTTTGCACATTATAAAGTGCGCATGGCCCAGAACACATTTGACAGATACCATCACATTTGACCCCCTTCCTAAAAGTTCTGTGCGGCAAGAGTGCGACATAAACAGATACTATTTTTAAGATTTCATTGGCTTTAAAAGGTTCATTGGAAGACTCCCGGTCCCACGTTTCCCATAAAAATCAACCTTATACCAGCTGCCTAAACCCCGTTTTGATAAGTTTTTTTTTTAAAGAGGAGCTGATGTTTTGATAAAAAAATATCATTTTTTGCTTCACAATTTTTCACTGAAAGTCCATTTCTTATCTTACAAAAACCTACATAAACCGAACACTCGCGCTAACATCGAATAAAAACGAGAACACAGACCAAGTGTTCGAAAAACAAAATGGGGGCTTCCACGAAAAAAAGTCTCTCTGACAAAACAGAAATTCAACAATCAAATTTCCCTTCAAATTGCCCGTAAGTTTCAAATTAAATAGCATCAGTAAAACAAGAATGTTTTCCTCTTTATTTTGGTGAGTTTTCTTTGACTTTTGGCTAGTATTTATACAAGAAATCGAAGATTTAAAAAGACAAGTTTAGTGTGATGTCAGATATTAAGGCAAAAAATTGCCCTACCGCTGGACTCGCTACCTAGGACTCACTTAATTGTAATGTTTTTCAACTTTTCGCAATATACACCTACCTACTTCTCTGCCCAACTTGATCTCGTCACCAATCCCACTCCAGACAAAAACAATCGTTAAAAGTATGAACTTCCACATATCAGCGATCAGTGAAACGTACAGTTTTTGGTGTATGTGCTTGCTCTTATGTGTATGTGTGACGAACACATAGGCTACTGGCTTATGTTGCGAACACAATTCTGCTCTGAATACTGCGAACTTAAAAAACGCAATGACAAAACGCTATACACGCAACGGACGGACAGCGCGTGTGAAAGAATAAAGAGACTAGATCGGCAGCGCGTGCGCCAGAGTGTGCACAAAACGTGCGTTACGCGCACCTACATTCCCGTCGGTTTGTGCACAAACGTTATTTTTTCATGTCCGTAAATCAACATTTTTGACCAGTAGTAATTATGTCTTCGACAAAATTCAAAATGCATTATTAAGCTGGATAGTAACCTGGAAGTTTGCTCCATTTTTCCCTCGTATTTATTTTTCGTTTTTAAATAGTGGTGCGCGTTGCTAAAAATAACTAAACTAATGTCATGCGTATCTGATAAAAATATAAAAACATTACATTGTTTTAAAAATAAAAAAAAAACTTACGATGTAAAAACTGGTCTAAATTACCGTTGAATTATTTAAAATGAACATTGTGAAATGTTTCAATGGGGGATTTTAGAGATTTGTGTTACAATATATTATTATCCGCCCCTAAAAACTTGAAGATGCGTTTTAAGAATGAATTATATTACATTCCTTCTGAATGCATTGGCGGATTCGAACCTTTGGGGAAGATGGGTTGAGGGGTATGGATAATGAGTGCGTTTGTTGTGCATATTTCGAAAAGCATCGGGTATATTTTGACTTGAATTTGACGCTGAGAGCGGTGGCGCGACCAGGCTGGGAGGGGGGGGGGCATAGTGTTTATTACGTCACGATTTACTATGTTTCGTTTGCTGCCCCCAACGACGACTTTTACACAAATTGCACGTTCGGGTCGAAACAGGACCTGTAAAACAGCTCTCAAAAGTACGTTTTGTACTCATTTCATGACAGACACAATAGTCGTTTTTATTTCATCACACCTTAGGCTACATATACCCGAAAAATGACGGGAATGTCTTCGAGCATTCCACAACCTCTTTAAAGTAACATTTCAGGAATGGTTGATTGAATGATGGAATTTTTGAATATTCATGATGATTGAGCTAAAACCAAGTGGTGTAGCCCTTTTGAAACATACCAACTATTGCAATAAATCCTATGTAAAAACCTAACCTGAAGAAAATCGTTCTTTTTCTGCTCAGCATTTGCCACAATCGCATCATATAGCCAAGTGTCTCAGTTCACATAATCCTTAAGTATCCAATAATGGCTGCAAGAGGGAGATACCGACGAATCTCGGACGTTGACCGAAATCGCCTCATCGATGCCTTTGAGGCTGACAACGCTGACTATCTACAGGTAGCAAATACGCTGGGCATCAAGCACTCAACGGCCAGATCAATCGTTGGCGTATATCTCCGGGATGGTCGTCGTAACAAGCTGCCGATAGGAGGACCCATAAACCAGAAGGTTGACGACGACATGAGAGATACCCTACAAGGATATCTAGATGAAATTCCATCTTATGATATCTAGATGACAACCCCCTTTTAACTTTGGGTCAACTCAACACTCAACTGCGAGCTGATCTTCCCGATAAGCCCTTCGGTGAAAACAAGTATCATCGCTAGAACTCTAGATGGTATGCTTATAACTCTTAAACTAGCGGAAGATGTTCCAGAACGGAGGAATGAGCCTCGTATATTAGATGCACGAGTCATATTTGGAAATTGGTTTCTTCAGGTTGGTGTCCTTTGCCACACTGTGTACATTAACGAGACTGGGTATATGGACCTGTCGGTCTTATGGTCGCGATCCTCGTGGAGAGCCAGCAAGGTGTGTCGTCCATGGCCAGAGGGGCAAGCAAGTCAACATCACGTTTGCCATTTCTGGTGAGTTTGGACTTGTGGCTCACAGAATACCATCAGAGACTGTGACGAGAGCGACTTTTGAGGAGTTCTTAGCGACGACTGTACAAGAATGTGGTATGTTATTCCCGGCAGGCGAACGCATATATCTGATATATGACAACGCTCGTCCTCGTATCCGAGCCCAACTACCCCCTGATGCCGGCAACTTCACCATCAAGCTGCTGCCCCCATACTCGCCATTTTTAAATCGGAAATGGCACACTCAGCTTTCAAGGCGGGAGTGAAGCGCACGCTGGGGCTTCCTGAATGGCAGGACAGATTTGGAGACCAAGACGCAAGAGTCTAAGCTGGTGTGAACCTGCAAGTCTGGAGATCCCTCCGTCTCCAGGAGGTGGCTGCACTCAACATTGAACATTCGAGAGGTGACACCTGCGAATTGCACCGCCTAGTACAACCATTCTCAAACATATCTCCCTCGATGTCTTGGTAGACAGGTCATTGAAGGATAGACAATCGAACTGATAAAACGAGAGAGAACCTTAAGAAATACATAAAGAAATTAAAATACAATTAAGATAAAGAACCAACAAAAAGTCCCCATGCAGATCCCACGTAACATGACACGTGATGTGTCCCTTTACCGTCTCAATAATATGGCTACAAGATTATTTTGATTGATTTCGTATTGGTCATATTTATATCATTTTCACATTTCATTTGCCTACATTTCACATAGGCCTTTGTGTATATAAGAACAAACACATTAATGATCAATAAGGCTTTCATTGATTAATTAATAAATCCTTAATTAATGAATCAAAGCTGTACCATGATTTAATTGTATAGGTCTGTATAATTTATTTAAATTGAATGGAGAAAATGCGAATTTAAATTGTAACAAATGAAAAACAATGTTCAATTTAGCCCGTGTCACAATAGACAATCGATTTTCTGCGAATTGGATTGCACATTCGTAATCATCGGTAACGCATACGTCAAACCGAAAACCTAATCACGTATTTGTAATCCCGTAAACGAAACGTTAAGCACATTTATTCATTTGATTGATGCTAAATGAAATCGAATGCTAGTTATAACGAAAATGAAACCAGGGTGTACGTCGTTCTCAAACTCGGCGCCAAATTGACTTATCACCTCAACAATTACGTCTTTAATCCCGTACCGTTGGATACTGAATATGCTGAATTCCTGCAAAGTACATGCGGGTCAGAATACCTTAGTGAAGACCAGGTGCAAGCCAAATGTACTGAGAAAGGTGATTTCTTTTCATTGTATCACGCAAATACAAGAAGTATAAATAAACATTTTGATTCCCTGCAGCATTCGCTTTTAGAAATAAGGCACGAATTTCAAATTATTGGCCTTACTGAAACATGGCTGAAGTCAGACCCTGATCCCCTTTTGGTCATGCCAGGTTATAACATTGAGTTTAAAAACAGACAAAATCAAACTGGCGGAGGCGTAATGATGTATGTTAAAGATTCACTGACTTATGTATTGCGCCCCGATCCGTCAATTCCGACTCAATCCCATGAATCCTTATTTATTGAGATTAAAACAAATACAAGTAACATTATAATTGGCTTGATCTACAGACTCCCTGGTTTATGTCTTCAGACCTTCACAGAAGGTCTTGAACCAGTGCTGGAAAAAATTGCATCTGAATCAAAAAATGTTATTTGTTAGATGACTTTAATATCAATTTTCTTAACAGTGAATCTCACGCTGGAACTAATGATGTACTAAACCTCTTATATACTTATTTGTTTAGCCCAACTATTGACAAACCAACTAGAATAACTCAAATTCAGCAACACTGATTGACAATATCTTTACTAACGACATTGAACCATTCTCCACCTTTATTGTTCTATCGGATTTCAGCGATCATCTTCCAATCATTTTCTTTGGCTCCTACCTTGCTCAAGCTAAGCAACAATCTAGTTCTTTTCGGAAAAGGAATACATCAGCCACAAATATTGCTGCTCTGAAAAGTGATTTAGCACAAGTTAACTGTGGTTCAATCATTACCGATGATGGAGTAAATCTGCGATACTCGCAGTTCATATCCAAGCTAAGTGAACTCATTGATAAATGCATGCCTTATAAAAAGTGTAGACATCACAGTAAAGAACCTAAAAATCCCTGGGTTACCAAAGGTCTACTAAAGTCTATAAAAAAGAAAAATAAACTGTATAAAGTATTTCTTACCAAACCTTCTGAGATCAATAAACTCAAATATAACCGATATAAAAACAAATTAACCACCGTTATTAGAGCTTACAAGAAAATATATTACTCAGAGTATTTTGAGCAAGAAAAAAACAACATGAAATATACCTGGAAAATCATAAATGAAATTTTTAATAAAAAGCGCAAAAATATCAAGCCAATAAATTCGATCAAAATGAACAATAATGATGTTAACGACTCTCATACGATTGCAGAGCATTTCAATCAATATTTTGTTAACATTGGTCCAGATTTAGCTTCTAAGATACAACATAGTTCTTCTGATCCGATAAAATACATTAAAGGTAACTTTCCCGATTCTCTATTTTTAAGCCCATTCACCGAGGAAGAACTATTTAATTGTATCAGTAAACCTCCAAATAAGAAGAGTTCTGGTCATGATGAACTTGATAATATTTTGATAAAAAAATATTGCTCCTTTTATTGTTCACCCTTTAACAGATATTTAAATCACTCTTTAATTTCCGGAGAAGTCCCTAACGAACTTTAAAAATGGTGATCGTTCCCATGTCACTAATTATCGCCCCATATCTGTATTGCCATGATTCTCAAAATTGTTAGAAAGGTTAATTGCAAACCGTCTTGAAAAATTTATTGGTAAATCTAACATACTGTCACAATCTCAGTATGGCTTCAGGCCGAAATATTCGACTGAACTTGCCTTGATTGATTTAGTTGATAAAATAACATCTAGTCTGGACAAACGTGAACATTCAAAGGTAACTTTCCCGATTCTCTATTTTTAAGCCCAGTCACCGAGAAAGAACTTTTTGATTGTATCAGTAAATTTCCAAATAAGAAGAGTTCTGGTTATGATGAACCTGATAATATTTTGTTAGTTGATAAAACAACATCTAGTCTGGACAAACGTGAACATACAAGTGGCATTTTTCTGGACCTTTCTAAGGCATTTGATACTATAAATCATGATATTCTAATTAATAAACTTCAAACATAT